CATAGACAGGTGGGCTGCGCCCTAAGATTTCACAGCAGCTTCTGTAAGTGTGTGTGTGTGTGTGTGCTCAAGTTGTTAGTTCATTCCTCTTCCAGCTACATTTACTGGCCGCATGAGCCATGGTTGGTTGTAGCAGGCCAACAACCAAGAATAAGTCCAGCTCTGACAGAAGGTATTCCTCTGTTGACAATTTACACCCCAGGTAATAAATTATCAAAGCTACAGACACTGAGACCATCCATCTGCTAGCTGATAGCACTGGAGCTAACAAAAATCATATCAGCCTCATTAAACCTCCATTTCTGTCAGAATTTTTAACCAGAAGGCCTATCTGTCAGCAAGTAGCAGTTAAGGTAAACCAATTAAGGACTGAGTACGGCCAAAATATTCTAAATAGCTCCAAGCTAAAGATCTACCAACACATGAAAACCAGCTGGCATCACACTATCTTTTGGGTTTATATCTCTTAAATATGCTGACTAGCAGACAGGCGTTTGACAGCACTGCAAAATAAGAGTTGTATTAACCAAATGACAACTAAAACAACTAAACGAGTCTCCTGTGGCCACTTGTGATCTGATTTTTTTGAAGGGAGGGTTCTGTGACTATATACAACACTTAACTCATCAGAATGACAAAGCAAAAGACATTTTGAAATAAGAAACAAAAGTTGGTATACAGTAACAACCAAACTTTTTGGATTAAGAAAAAATCATCTGATTAAAAAAAAAAAAATTGGAAGAGAGTGTACAGTATTTGTACGTAGTCATTCATTACAGTCATTACTCGAGTCTTCAGTGCCACATGATCCTTCAGAAAATATCCTAATATGCTGATTTATTGCTCAATTATTAATAATGTTTCTACATATTTTGCTGATAATATTTTTGTGGAAACCATGATACATTTTTTTCAGGATTCTTTGATGAATAGAAAGTTTAAAAGAACAGCATTTATTTGAAATATAAATTTTGAGCAATTTAATGCACCTTTGTGAATAAAATATTAATTTATTAAAAATACTTTTTTCATGAAATATATTACTTAAAATATATTACACAAAATTTTATGCTGGTAAAATCGTTTTGAACATTGATAACAATAAGAAAAATTTCATGCAAATAGTGAAATAATAGAAGTGACACTGAACACTGGAGTAATGGCTGCTGAAAATTCAGCTTTTCCATCACAGGAATAAATGTCATTTACAATATATTGAAATATAAAAAAACTGTTATTTTAAATTGTAATAATATTTCACAATATTACTTTTTTTTCAAATAAATGCAGCCTTGGTGAGCTTAAGAGACCAAGAGGGTTGTCAATACCAGATGTAAATGTGCTGAAAACGGTTTTTATATAACATGATTGATGAACAAAGGATATTTCTAAAATCATCAGTCTTTAGGGGACATAAATTCAGCAGCGCACTGACTGTCACAGATTTCCCAGCCGCTTTCCTGAATATCATGTGGCAATCTAGACCTCCTCCAAATCCATTCAGAAACCATGTCCTGTCCCAAACTACATCCTCTGTCATGTGATTGGAGCTCAAGTTGACAAAGAAGAGCCCTATGTTTTGATATTTGTTTGAGTGCTAAGTGAGTTTATACTGATTCATTCCTAAGGGCTACACAAAGCACAAACTGTCATCCACCCGGTTTCTCCGCCTATCAAAAATCTTTATGGACTATTAAGCTGTCACATCTCTTCATTCCTCTCCCAGCGGCTGATCTATTTATAAAGCAACGTGAGCCAAACAGGTGTTGATCTGCATAAAAAATCATCTTACTTGAATAACAGCAAATGTCTTTGTGGATTGTTTATGTTTGTTAAGGCTTGAGTGACAAGCAGAACTAGTCACAGAATCACTTCTTTTTTTCTTTTTTTTTTTGCATATCGGAAATGTATTGACATCCATCACACAATGCTGTTTTACAGTATATCTACACATGAAATGTGAGCAAAAATTCCAATCTCTAACTATCTTTGTAATGATGGGTATTAGGGGTAGATGGTATACTAGTTAAGGACAGAAAGACAGTAGAACTGTTTCCAACCATTGTGTCTATCATGATGCAAAATGCTGCTACAGTGCTGGTGGGGAATGAGAATTACAATCAGAGATGGAGAAAGAAGGCGGAGCCGCAACAGATGTCAATCAAATTAGTAGCTGTTGCCCTTAGTTACAGCTGTAGCACTCGTTCTCCTTTGTGAAATATGGAGGAAACCGACTGGACTGAGTGCAATTAAATATGAAATGACAGCGCATTTATCTAGTTGACAAAAACGTTCCCATATGTCACTGAAGAGTATGTTCAAACATGAAATTAAGCAAAGAAATTCATGATAAAGAGGTTTGCTTAAGAATCAAAGCAGATGATTAAATTAGAAAATTTAAATTGAAAAAAAAATTAACTAATATATATATATATATTTATATACACATACTCCTGAATGCTAGATTTAAATCACCGTTGTTTTAAACAATTATAATATAATATTAATAAAGTAGTTGATTTGTTGATTTGAAATAAAACTGAATAAAACTGTTTGACTTAAATATGGATCCACTTTAAAGCGTAACATGCAATGGCAAATCCTTCTTTCACCAATTATTGTGCTTCTGTGCATCTTACAGTGCACGACAAGCATCCATGACATGTGCCACTGGAAACCTCCCAATGTATGAATATTTCCAACACCGGCCCTGAGGACACCACTTCCCATGTTCTATGCCATTCTGTGGACATTTTCCCAATCCTGAAATACATTTCCTTTTTTCACTCCCATCACTGCCATTTTAATTGTGAAGCAAACAGCTCTCCGGGGCTCTTCACAGCCACTCTATGGTGTCAATCTTCATTTCCTTCCACAAAAAGCAACACATCTTAATGGTACAGTATTGATAATCCATTGGTCTCCTAGTGCACAGTGAGAAAAATAAATGCTTGAATCACTACCACAGCCATGTTGTTAGTCTAGATTGCATTCTGTGCAACAACAAGGGCATAGCTCTTGATCAAAAAGTAATTACTTACTAGCTGTAAGCTATGGTCTGAGCTGAAATGGATTGTGGGAGTGCAGGCTGTGTGTACCGAGAGGAGCAGTTTTCATCGTCCGACAGAACTTCTGTGCCACACATTTCCTCTAAATGCAGAAGATTTGAGGCTCACCGGGTCAGTGAATTAAGCCAGCTTGAGGTAGCCAAAACAACCATAATCACACCTGAATAACTCAAAGATCAGAGCAGCCCTCTTTAAACCATTACAACAACACAAGGTTATGTAGAAAATGTGTATGCTAAAAATTCAGTACATACATTTTTTTGTGGTATTTGCTTTGAAATGGCTCAAATGTGTGTGTGTGTGTGTTTTCAATCAGAGGAAGCATAATTCCCACCAAAAAGCTATTGTAACTAATTTGATTAAAATTGTTAATGAGAAGTAAAATAAACTATTTTGCACTAAATGAACACAAGGATGGCATTTAAGAACATTAGTTTAAAAGTAATTTGACAATACATACATCCATTTATTTGATCAAAAAGTAATATTGTTAATAATGTTACAATTTAAAATAACTTTAATACATTTCAAAAATGTAATTTCTGTGATGGCAAAGCTGAATTTTCAGCATCATTACTTCAGTGTCACATGATCCTTCAGAAATCATTTTGATGCTGATTTGCAGCTTCAGAAACATTTCTTATTATTAGCAATGTTGAAAACAGTTGTGCCGCTTAATATTTTTGTGGAAGCTGAAACTTTTATCAGTATTCTTTAACGAACAGATACTTCAACATTTATTTGAAATGGAAATCTTTTGTAAAAATCTCTCCACACACACACACACACACACACACACACACACACGAAAGTATTCCTTAGAAGCACTCATTCCCTGTGCACAGCAAAGCACAGCAGATTAACTAAAACCTGCACACCTTGATTTCCCATAATTATAAAGAAGCCTGTAATCAGAGTTCAAATTTGCAAATTTTGTAAAAAAGCTTTGCCATTTTATTCCGCAATCTACATGAGATACTTTGTAAATGGTTTGTTTGTGGTCCATGGCATGCCATCTGAACCCAAGATTAATTTAGACTTGAATCCAATGTTAAAGGGGTTCTATTATGCTCTTTTACAAAGTCTTGATTTTGTTTTGGGGGTGTACTAGAACATGCTCTCATGCTTGGTGGTTCGAAAAACGCATTATTTTTCCACATAATTTACATTATTACAATACCTTTCTCCCCAGCCAAAAACTGGTACTAACAGACTGATATTATCTGACTCTCCAGAGAGCCTGTCCTTAAGGAAGCCTGATTTATAGTCAGTGATATTACCTTTTGTTTAAACTGTTTGTGCGTGCTGTTTCTAACAGTCTCTTTATGAAGCATTTGCAGTAATGCAGATCCCCTCACTGGTGCTGACCTGGCCAGGCAGTTAATGAGTCTGTCTGCTCGCCGGATTGCTGGAGCTGTTGACCTTGCCATCTGCTCCTGATGCCTCAACGCCAAACACTTTCCCTCTTAGCCGTTCAGACAAGATGAAATACAATTCCCATTAAAGGGAAAGTTGCTAATAATGCCTTATCAATTAGGCCCATTGCTACTGATTGATGTCTAGCAGGTGGCACGAGACGATTATGTTCATTTAGAGGTACACTGACTGTCCTTGCCTCCTACTCATTCTTTTGATGCTCATTAAAGCCCAGGCTGTAGAGACATCAGCTACTGACTAAATCAGGCCTCTAACAACCCATTAAAGATTGCTTCATCGCTGCTGAGTCTAATCTTTGTGTTCCTACATTGTTAGCAAGATGTTCCCAGATATTAATCTTCATTTGTAGACTTTATGATATTTGCTGTTAAAGTTGCTGTATAAAACAAAATAATATATGCATGCACACAGACATGGTACTGCTCAAAAATTTGTACATGTTTTTAAAATGTTTTTTGTTTTTTTTATGTTGTTGAAAGAAGTCTTTTTTTCTCTCTCTCTTCAAATCACCATGCAGTCCAGACTGGACTCCTCCATGGTCATGTTTGTCAGCTCTGCTCAGCTCAGCTCTGTTTAACGAATAAATAATACAATATTATTTAATATCTTCACATCAAGTGTATAAGCACTTTTTCCAGGTAGTTTCAACCTTGAAGAAAAAAAAAAGCACACACACAATGAATAATAATGATTTATCTGAATGCAACCCTGTGATTGCTTTTCTTTCTGTTATTCAGTAAATGTAGGACCAGGAGGCCTGAGGTTTTGAGAAAAATCTTAACATGTCAAAGAATGGTTTCATTTAATCAAAGACATTAGAGTCTGCGTGAACTTAATTACACTGTTCTGAGAGTATGTGGACAGGGTGGCAATAACTCTCATGGGTTTCTGAAAATTGCCCATAATTCAATTCACCTCACTCTCCTCTCCCACGTGTTAAACTAAGGCTCTATTTTTTTATACATTCCCCCAGGGGCGTAGATTACGCGGGGGACGCGGGGGATGTGTCCCCCCCACTTTTAATATCATGTAAATTCGTCCCCCACACTTTTTCGGGCAAGTGTGTTCGCATAGAGGTTTTCAAGAGCCGGTGTGAATAAATATAGATTTACATTCAAAGAGACAGGATAGTCTGTGCATGATCTGATGTTTTATTCGGACCCAGATTAAGGCGAGATGAACATCTCGGAGCGCTAAACATTCCGTGCAGTGTATGTTTCATTCATACTCG